GAATCCACAACCCATTGTAAATTATAACTAGTTTAGTTAAGGACCACATGTTCTAACTACGAGATTTAGGATATCCTGCAGTTTTAAAATGGAGCAACAAGTCATACACAAGGTTTATTTTTTGTCGACTTGTCATAAAGAAATGATGGTTCAAATAAAGCTTAAGATGATAAGATCCTAGGCGTCTCTGATTGGATATGATATGAAAAAAGTGCTAAAAAGTTCAATTAATAATAGGTTGTGCACACAAAAAAAGTTCAATTAATAACAGAAGACTGGTTTGTCCAATAAGCATCTGGTAATATGACATTGAGTATGAGAGAACTGACATTGTACAAACCAAATTTTTTAAAAAACGAAAAGCATCATATAAGTTAAGAAGTCTAATTTAGAAGTAAGTACCACATTTTCGGAGATAATTTCCGGATCTAGCTTTAGTAATAACTCTTACTGCAACATCTAATCATCGGTAATTGTTTAATTCTCTACTGTCAAGAAATTATACTGGAATTTACTACTGGAACGTTCAAGATGTTCAAATTTCCGTTACCTAGAATTGCAATTATTATAATGTTCCTTTCTTTGGGGGGACAACTACTAACAGCGTTAAAAGTAAAAACAGTACATGTAAAGATCAAAGAACTAGAGGAAAATTGTAGCTTTAGAAGATAAAGTTTTAAATCATTTTTATTTTAAAGCGAGGCCATAAAGAAACTTTCTCAATATTCAATTTTGGACAAGTGATAGTGTCCCTACACAAGAATCTTGTGGTAGGAAGAGGTATGGGCCAACAGCACAATCAGTCAATCACCACTCAATGATTCATGAGATAAACTCTTTCTGGGTCCCAAATCCTCTCAAATCTCACTTGAAAAAAGGAAGGAAAACCACTTTATTAGTCTTCAATTATAAAGAATTCTCAGTCCCCACTCAGTAATCATCTGAAGCTATATATAAGACCACTATGAATTCGCCAAACAATTAAGAAGCAATAACCAAACAAAGCCAAGCAAAAGAGAGAGAATAGACTTTGATTCAAAGCTTTTTCAAAGCGTAAAAAATGTCTGCAAATGAATTACCTTCTTCAGCTCAAGCCTTCCAAGAACAAATCTTTGGCGGTTTTATCTCTAGAAAGCTGCTTCTACACAACCCATTCGACCAAAACACTCAACGAGCAATTACGGTCGCACCATCTCCTCTCATAACCCATGACAACAACCTCAGTGGGAATGTCTTGATGCTTCTCTCAGTCCTCATCTGTGGAGTCATCTGCTGCCTCGGGTTACATTACATCATTCGTTGTGCATTCAGGCGTTCTTCAAGTTTCATGATCTCCGAGCCTATCTCTAGTCTTTCAACACCACGCGGTTCATCAAACAAAGGGATCAAGAAGAAAGCTCTTAGGATGTTCCCGGTCGTGAGTTACTCACCTGAGATGAACCTGCCGGGGTTTGGTGAAGAGTGCGTCATCTGTTTGTCGGATTTTGTTTCCGGTGAAAAGCTAAGGCTGCTTCCTAAGTGCAACCACGGATTCCATGTTCGTTGCATTGACAAGTGGCTTCAACAACATTTGACTTGTCCGAAATGCAGACACTGTCTGGCTGAGACATGCCAAAAGATCATAGGTGACTCCAGCCAAGTGACAGCAGCACTAACAGAGAGTGTAGTTGTCAGGATTTCTCCTCTAGAACCTGAAGGAATAGTAAACAGTTTTATAGAAAGCAGCTAAATGCCCAGAAGCCATCATTAAATCAGAATTTTTTGCTCAAGTTTTAGATAGTAGATTTTTGGTCTGAGCACAATTCATGTCTATAACCATAGAGGAGTTCCAAAAGAAAAAATCAAGATACACTTCAATTTTTTTATTTCTTTCTTTTTTTGCCTGTAGCACAAAGTGTATACAGAGAGAATATATTTCACTTTTCAGTTGCAGATCACTTGAGTTCATCAAACTTATCTTTAAAAAAAGATGTGAATTATGCAATCATATCCAAAAACCTTAAAACCCTTAAGATTGATTCGTGCTAGTCAATAAACTATTTTGTGTCACAATCACTGGACATAAGAATTGATCTCCCAGTCATACATGCCAAGGTATTGCAATACAGTCCAGACCTGACCGCTAATATGGTTGATTGATGGTGACAAATGCACGAAGTTCATTTTATCCACTTGACCCGGCCCACTTAAAACACAACGTATATGCCTCACACACATGAGTCAACAGGATAGCAAATACCATAGGGAAAGCCAACCGGCCTAAGTTTATAAGTAAAGTCAAACGTAAAAGCTATATTGGGAGATGCATAAAATCTTGTAAGATACCAAGCTATACCAAACTTCAAATTCACAGATTCTCAACCGCCAGTAAAGTGATAAACCTGACGTTTGGGATAGAGCCTTGACACCAAACATACCTATAAAATAACTGAGTTATTCAAAACCAGCTATACAAGCTGGAATCCACAACCCTTTGTAAAATATTTTTAACAACTAGTTTAGTTAAGGACCACATTTTGTAACTACGAGATTTAGGAGATCCTGCATTTTTTAAAAGAGAGCAAGTGGTCATAAACAAGTTTATCAAAAGAAAAGACATGTCATAAACAAATGGTGGTTCAAATAAGGCTTAAGATCCTAGGCATTCCTGATTGGATGGGATGTGAATTAAGTATTGAAAAGTTGAATAGTAACTGAGGTTGTGCACAAAGAAGAAGGGCTATTGGTTAATAATGTAAGACTGTGGTTAATAATGTAAAACTGTGGTTAAGCATCTCAGGGATATTATCAAGTGGTATCAGATATGATCTGATACCATGCACTGAGTGCATGAAATCTGCATTTAAGTGATTTAAGTACTTAAAATTACGGATTAGCGTAAGTTATGCCCTTACTGCAACAGCTAATGGTATATAATTGTTCAATTCTCTCAATGATTGAAGCTGTGTTTATATTTTCCATGAATTCACTACGAAACTCTAATGATGTCTGAATTTCTGCTACCATCTCCTTGAAGGAAATACGAATTTTGATCATGTTATTTTTGTGGGGAATAATATCTATTATTAGTAGCCTTAAGATTTAAACAGTAAGTAAATACAGAAAGCACTAGAGAACAATTGTAGCTTTGGAAGATAATGTTTTAAAACAGTATCGTAGTGCTTTAAGAAAATTCGGACCACTTGTTGGAATAAAGACCTCGATCAATAAGATAGATTCATGTCTAAGCTTTTTGTAATATAATAAACATATATATAGCACCTTAAAAAATTCAGAACTATGCTAATAATATAATGGAGAAACTTTGTAGACATACCACGTAATAAAGCAAAAGAGCTGAACATAATTGGCTGTGCCTATTCATCCTAGCACATAATGAAGTGCTCTACATTATCAAGGGAAGAAAGATATTTAGCAGGAACATGAACAAATGAAACAGATATTTAGGAACGATGAACAAATAGATATTTACTTAAAAAGCTCACCAAAAGACTAACACTGAGAATTATCAAGACAAAGGGTCCCCAAGACAAAACAAGATATTTAGTAGGAACGATGAACTAATAGATATTTACTTAAAAGTTCACCAAAAGACTAACACTGAGAATTGGCACTGAAGAGTAAATAATTAAAGAATAGGTTCCACAAAAGATATTTAGTTGGGATGATGAACAAATAGATATTTACTTGTTCGCCAAAAAACTAACACTGAGAATTGCAACTGAACAGTAAATAATTAATAGATAGGTTTCACAAAAGATAGCCATATGTAATTAAGAGACAAGCATAAAGCTCTGTGTTTCAGCATCTCCAATTTCTAGCAAAATAGAACTTTAATTATACTGTTCCTGAAACTTTTGTCATATCCCCTAAAATCCATTGGATCCAAACCATTTCCACATCACGAATGCATCCAACAAAACTCTTACTTGCGTATTCCAAGAAATATTCCAATTCTCACCCAAGTCACGTTATTTCACCAATTCTTGGTAACATTTCACTTATCAAGAATCAACAAGACAAACATGATAAGAAAAGAGTATTTTTTAAAAAAAATTTAAAGTGAGACAAAAAGAACAGATTTAAAATTCAATGTTGAAAAAGTGATAGTCCCTACACAAGCATCTTGTTGTTGGAGGAGGTATGGGCAAAAATGCACTATCAGCACTCAAGGATTCATGAAACAGGGAAAAGCTCTTTCTGGGTCCCAAGTCCTCTGAAATCTCACTTGAAAAATAAAACGAATAAAAATCCACTCAGTACTCAGTAAAAACTATTAGAGCAGCTCCAATGGGGGATGAGGAGAGTCTCTAGTTGCTGTTTTAATTAAAAAGAAAAGTTTTAATGGTGTTTTTAAGCAGAACCGTTTCTAATTTAGTAGTTTGTAGAGACTCATTAGAGCCTCTCACATGTCACGTTATGATTGGTTTGATATTTTTTTAATTTTTTTTCGTTTTTTTTTACTAAAACCCTCTGTCTCTAAGAAAATGTTTGAATATATGGGTTTTGGTTGAGCATGATCAATTAAAAAAAGATTTAGTTGAGTATTTATGAAATATGTTTGGTATAACTCAAGATTACAACTAATCTTATTATTTCCGATTTATGATTTGCATCTCTCTTTTGTTTTGTTTTTCTATATTCTATGTCTAAGTTTGTATTAATAAAATGTTTGTATTTGAAAAATTACAAAAAAAGCAATTATTAGAGACTCCTTTAAAAGACTACCATAAACCAATGAAAAAATTATTAAAAGGTTCTAGTGTATTAAAGTGAATAAAAAAGTATTAAAATCAAAATTAGAATCCCTTGTTAAAGACTATGGTTGGAGGTGGTCTTAGTCTTCAATTATAAAATTCTCAGTCCCCACTCAATACTCAGTAAGCATCTCAAGCTATATATATAAGACCACTTTGAATTCCCCCAAAACATTAATAAGCAATAACCAAACAAAGCCAATCAAAGCAGAGAGAAGCTTCAAATCTTTTTAAAAGAATAGAATGTCTGCAAATGAATTACCTTCTTCAGCTCAAGCTTTCCAAGAAAAACTCCTTGGTGGTTTTGTCTCTAGAAAGCTGCTTCTTCATAACCCATTTGATCAAACAACTCAACGAGCCACTGCGGTTTCACCATCTCCTCTCATAACCCATGAGAACAACCTCAGTGGCAATGTCCTGATTCTTCTCTCAGTCCTCGTCTGTGGAATCATCTGTTGCATCGGGTTACACTACATCATTCGTTGTACTCTCAGACGTTCTTCAATTTTCCTGATCTCCGAGCCTATTACTAGTCTTTCAACACCACGCGGTTCATCAAACAAAGGGATCAAGAAGAAGGCTCTTCGGATGTTCCCTGTCGTGAGTTACTCACCTGAGATGAACCTACGGGGGCTTGGCGAAGAGTGCGTCATCTGTTTGTCGGATTTTGTTTCCGGTGAAAGGCTAAGGCTGCTCCCTAAGTGCAACCACGGGTTCCATGTTCGTTGCATTGACAAGTGGCTTCAACAACATTTGACTTGTCCAAAATGCAGACACTGTCTTGTTGAGACATGCCAAAAGATCTTAGTTGACTTCACTGATGATGATCAAGTGATGGCAGCACCAACAGAAAGTATAATTATCCGGATTTCTCCTCTAGAACCTGAAGGAAGAGTAAACACTCTTAGAGAAAGCAGCTAGATGCCAAGAAATCATCAAAATTCAGATTCTGTGCTCAAAGTATATAGGAGATTTTAGATCTGAGCACAATTCATGTCTATCCATAGAAAGGTTCTAACAGAAAAGCAAAAAAAAAAAAAAAAAAAAAACTGCATACACTTGAATTTTTTAATGTCTTTCTTTATTTGGCCTGTAGCACAAAGTGTATACAGAGAGAATATTTCCAACTTTTCAGTAGCATCTTATTGAGTTCATCAAAATCCTCTTTGCACAGTTATTTTTTACGTTGGAATGTGAATTATGCATTCTTATTCAAAAACATTAAATTTCATCTATAACCAAAGATTGATAAGTGCTAGTCATAATCACTACACAGAACCAAAAAGGTCACTAAGACAGAATAAATGGTTTCCAGCCTTCCAGGTAATGAATGCCAATATTCGTGTGAAGTAGCAGTGTTTAGTCGACGGGATAAAATTACGGTCCACTTGACTCGACCCACTTAATAAACTACGTATATGCTCCAAAACCGCTCCCAGTGACAATGAAATCTACTCTTCCATATGAATATGATCCAACACATAATAGAGCATACCAACCAACCTAAGTTTATGGGCAAAAGTCAGACCTAAAGCTACATGGGTCAAAGTCTTGTAAGATATTAATCTATAGCAAACTTGGCCTTGTAAGATTCTCAACCGCCAGTCAAGTGATAAACCCATCCTATGAAAGCCTTGACACCAGATATATCTATGCCAACATACGCTATTGAAAATGTACGGTTCATCTGTAAATAAGTAAGAAATGTTTCACCTCCATCAAACCAAAAACACGTTTAAGTTTCCAACTAGTCTCATCACAAGCATCTCCTACTCTGATCTGACGGTTGGTGCCAAATACCATGTTGATGCCTCAATATTAATTTACTCACCCTAAATCTTGGTTTAATAGTATAATTACATCATGCGTCTTTCCTCCACAACAGGCGGACATATTGGGTATGCACACTAGCTTAGTGCAAGATATTACCGTATAGGAACCGAGGAAAGGCTAAGCCTAATGATGGTTTACTTCAATTATTTATGGAAAACAAAATCGTGCAAATATAAAAATACATGGAGTGATCAACTTGATATTTTAGTCGTTTTCACAAATTCTCCAAATATCAAGGTCGGAATCCTAATAACTAAGGTTGTTCTAACTACGAGATTTCGTAGATCCTCCAGTAACCAGTTTTAAAAGGGAGCAACATGTCATAAACAAGGTTATCAAAACAAAACAAAAACATGCCATAAACAAATAATGGTTCAAAAAGACTTAAGATCCTAGACGTTTGTGATTGGATGGGAGATTATAAATTTTTGAAAAGTTCAATGACTAAAAAGTGAGAGTAGTAATTGAGGCTGTGCACCTAAAAAAGAAAGGGTTATTGGTTAATAGAAGACTGTGGTTTACAGGTAGCATGTGTCCATTAAGCATCTGAGGGATATCAGCTGCTCCTATGTCACTGAGTGTGTGAAAACTGTAACAGCTAATGGACTAAAAATTGTTCAACTCTATCAACAATTAAGGCTGTCAAGGAAAGATCCTTGAGTTTACTAGTGGAACAACCGTTAGACATCAATACAATTACTAAATAATTATAATGAGACATTAAAAATAAATTTTCTTTACCGTTTAATTGAAAGAAATACTAGCTCCCATCGCAATTATTATACTGATCTTTTGGTGGAGAAGAATTATATATTATTAACATTAACGTAAATTCAGAAGCACTAGCGGACAATGGTAGTTTTGGAAGATAATGTTTTAAAACACTATCATAGTGCTTTAAGAAAATTCCGACCACTTGTTGGACTAAAGACCTCGATCAATAAGATAGATTCACGTAGCTTTTGTAGTATTATATATATATATACATATATATAGTAGCTTTAAATAATTCAGAACTATGTTTATGATACTATAATGGAGAAAGATTGTCGACATACCGTTATAGAAAAAGCAATGTACACAATAGGATGTGCCTATTCATCCTAGCACAAAATAAAACTCTCTATATTATCATGCGAGAAAAAGATATTTAGTAGCTAGGAACGATGAACAAACAGATATTTACTTAAAAAAGATATTTATTCTGCATTATAAAGAGAGAACAAAAAAAAAGATATTTAGAAGGAAAGGTGAGCAGATAGATATTTCACTTAAAAAGTTCACCAAAATACTGAGAATTGGCATTGAAAAATAATGATTAAGAATAGGTTCAACCAGTGCTCAAATAATCGCTAGGCGGTAGGCAGGCAAACGGAGTCCGACTAGCACCTAGGCTGAAATTCGGTGAATAATCGGTGATTAATCACTGATTAGTTTTGAATATTTTTTATTTATTTTAAAATTTTATATATGACTTATGAATAGATTTTTTATTTTTCAACACAAATATCCAAATTTAATATACAACTTTGGGCCAAAATGTTTTTTAAATATTTTTATATAACTTATTTTTCAAAACAAGTAAAATATTTATATATAACTTTGGGCCTAAATGTTTTTTTTTACTTTGGGCTTAATTGTGTTTTTTTAGGTAATGTGCTATATTATTGGGCCGATTTTTGGTTAAAAAAATATTAATTTTTCTTATTAGGCGTTGACTTTTCTTATTAAAAGTTGATTTTCTTTAAAAAACATTGATTTTTTCAAAAAATTGGTTGACCGCTTTTTTTCACCCCCTAGAAATAAATCGGGGCGGTCACCTTCCGACTAGCGCCTAGGTGACCGATTAGGCGGCTAGGCGGCCGCCTTTTAGAACATGGGGTTCAACTTAAGAAAGTCATAGACTGAACATCAATAATGGTAAATAGGTTATTAAGAGACGTACTAAAGCTCTGTGTTTCAGTATTTTCAGTTTCTAGCAAAAGAGAACTTTATAGTGTTCCTAAACTTTTCTCATGGCCCTTGGAACCCATTGGATCCAAACCATTTCCTCACCATAAATGCATCCAGAAAAAATCTTAATTGAGTTTTCCCAGAAATATTCCAATTCTTACAAAGTCGAGTTATTTGACCTCAAGGGGCGTCATTTTACCTTGATTTGTTGATAACATTTCACTTCATTCAGCCAAATATATTGCTGCCTTTAAAAACCTTTGTCCCATCTTCTTCTTCAACCCTTTTAGACATTCCATAATCGTACCTCAGTTCAGTCAACAGAGGAGGAATATGTATCATCGCGAAAAATGCAATACGAAAACATGGTTTATGATTCTTATTACTCTCAACAGGCTGCCATATCACATTCGGCGAGCATCTGTGGTTCATGAGCCGACTAACATTCATATCCCTTCTTGCGCTAATCAGCAATCGCGACTTGATATTATAAACCTCAGAGGTTTGTTCCCAACAATATTCTCCCACGAGCTCTGGTTCTCATTTCCACTTGAATAGGTTAAAAACACGAGAAGTGTTGAAGACATACTCATCATCCTCTTATACTTCTTGTATCATCTTACGCACACCAGCAAACCCGCAAATGAAAGTTCCACTCTGATCAGCTCCAACAAACATAATCCCCAGCCATACTTCTTCGTCTTGAACACCTCCATACAGATTTTCAAATTATTCTGAGTTACTCTGAGTTTGCATTCATGAGGACAAGCACACGGATGACCACATTCGTAAATCATTGGTTTGCGACATACTAAAACTCGGTCAAGGTATGGTAATTTACCGCCATTTCTCTTGATGCAATAACAGTTTGGATCTTCATGGATAGAGCATAACCAGCCAAAGCAACCGCTGCATCCAATAGATCTATGATGCGGATCAATTGTCCTACTAATAAAAAGCTGATTGTTGCTGTAGCTGAAATGTTCAGGCCTCTCTTTGTCGTTTTCATTGATTTCATTCACGAACGAAATCGGTGATGATGCCTCGCTTCCACGAGAAATATCTGCAAGTATAAAACCCTTTCATGAATTATCCAAACCACACTTTCTCCATCTTTCTACTGACTTCCAGTTCGCGTATCCAGAAGGCTGACCTGATTTTCTCACCAATCTGAATTTGTACTCATCAAAACCGGATTTCCCTTTCGCTGTCTAGTATTCAGACACAACTTACAGCCAGTGGCGGAGCTAGAAAAAAAATTACAGGGTCAGTTTTAATTTACAGTGTATTCTGAGCAAATTTTACGGGGTCATTTAGCTAAATTATTAATGTTTTACCTATTTTATTTTAAAAAATAAGAACATATAAAAAAAAATAATTCCACATGGGTCAAATGACCCACCTGGCAGCATGCTGCCTCCGCCACTGCTTACAGCCCGTCGTAGATGTATATTTATTTGTTCTTGTTATTGGGGTCTTCTTTGCCTCTAATCAGCACCCCCAATCGTAGTTTCTCAAAGGGGCTCTCATGATTAAAAAAATAGAAAAAAAATAAAAAAGGATGAGAAAGAATGTAAAAAAGGATGAGAACCCAGCATCCATAGTCTCTTATTTGAAAACCTCTAAAAATTTTTTTCAGAGACTCTTGTAAGATGTGTCACTATTTTATTGGTGGAATTTATTTTTCTAATTTAAAATTTAACGAGTTAATTAAATTACATAAAATAACAATATTATATTGGGTGAGATTCTCTTAAAAGTTTCTCACCATTAGAGGTGGTCTAACCTCATTCCCTTTCTTTTTACTTGCTTCCAATGCAAGGTTCCCTCTCACAAGTTTTTTATCAATAGCCTGACCAATCTTATCTGTTCCACCATGTCCGGTATATACAAAAGTTTTGATTTTTTCTGTTTCATCCCTGCAGTGTCCTGAAGTTACAACACTCGTAGCAAGCAGTCCTTCTATTGCGCCATCTTTAACTGTCAAATAGTTGATGCCGGTGACCATCTGCATGTGAAGTCCAACTAGACACATCTCCCCCCATAAGTAGAAGATATCACCTACTTGAACTCCAGGAATTATCTGGGCCAATTCTTTTCTTCATATTGGTTCTTATACCCAAGTTCCTACAATT